GAAGGCAGAAATAAAGATGTTCTTTGAAACCAATGAGAACAAAGATACAACATACCAGAATCTCTGGGACACATTTAAAGCAGTGTGTAGAGGGAAATTTATAGCACTAAATGCCCACAAGAGAAAGCTGGAAAGATCTAAAATTGACACTCTAACATCACAATTAAAAGAACTAGAGAAGCAAGAGCAAATACATTCGAAAGCTAGCAGAAGGCAAGAAATAACTAAGATCAGAGCAGAACTGAAGGAGATAGAGACACAAAAAACTCTCCAAAAAATCAATGAATCCATGAGTTGGTTTTTTGAAAAGATCAACAAAATTGATAGACCGCTAACAAGACTAATAAAGAAGAAAAGAGAGAAGAATCAAATCGACGCAACAAAAAATGATAAAGGGGATATCACCAGTGACCCCACAGAAATACAAACTACCATCAGAGAATACTATAAACACCTCTATGCAAATAAACTAGAAAATCTCGAAGAAATGGATAATTTCCTGGACACTTGCACTCTCCCAAGACTAAACCAGGAAGAAGCTGAATCCCTGAATAGACCAATAGAAGGCTCTGAAATTGAGGCAATAATTAATAGCCTACCAACCAAAAACAGTCCAGGACCAGATGGATTCACAGCTGAATTCTACCAGAGGTCCAAGGAGGAGTTGGTACCATTCCTTCTGAAACTATTCCAATCAATAGAAAAAGAGGGAATCCCCTCTAACTCATTTTATGAAGCCAACATCATCCTGATACCAAAGCCTGGCAGAGACACAACAAGAAAAGACAATTTTAGACCAATATCCCTGATGAACATCGATGCAAAAATCTTCAATAAAATACTGGCAAACTAGATCCAGCAGCACATCAAAAAGCTTATCCACCATGATCAAGGGGGCTTCATCCCTGGGATGCAAGGCTGGTTCAACATTCGCAAATCAATAAACGTAATCCAGCATATAAACAGAACCAAAGACAAAAACCACATGATTATCTCAATAGATGCAGAAAAAGCCTTTGACAAAATTCAACAGCCCTTCATGCTAAAAACGCTCAATAAATTCAGTATTGATGGAACGTATCTCAAAATAATAAGAGCTATTTATGACAAACCCACAGCCAATATCATACTGAATGGGCAAAAACTAGAAAAATTCCCTTTGAAAACTGGCACAAGACAGGGATACCCTCTCTCACCACTCCTATTCAACATAGTGTTGGAAGTTCTGGCTAGGGCAATCAGGCAAGAGAAAGAAATAAAGGGTATTCAGTTAGGAAAAGAAGTAGTCAAATTGTCCCTGTTTGCAGATGATATGATTGTATATTTAGAAAACCCCATTATCTCAGCCCAAAATCTCCTTAAGCTGATAAGAAACTTCAGCAAAGTCTCAGGATACAAAATTAATATGCAAAAATCACAAGCATTCTTCTACACCAGTGACAGACAAACAGAGAGCCAAATCATGAATGAACTTCCATTAACAATTGCTTCAAAGAGAATAAAATACCTAGGAATCCAATTTACAAGGGATGTAAAGGACCTCTTCAAGGAGAACTACAAACCACTGCTCAGTGAAATAAAAGAGGACACAAACAAATGGAAGAACATACCATGCTCATGGATAGGAAAAATCAATATCATGAAAATGGCCATACTGCCCAAGGTAATTTATAGATTCAATGCCATCCCCATCAAGCTACCAATGACTTTCTTCACAGAATTGGAAAAAACTGCTTTAAAAGTTCATATGGAACCAAAAAAGAGCCCACATTGCCAAGACAATCCTAAGTCAAAAGAACAAAGCTGGAGGCATCACACTACCTGACTTCAAACTATACTATACTACAGTAACCAAAACAGCATGGTACTGGTACCAAAATAGAGATATAGACCAATGGAACAGAACAGAGTCCTCAGAAATAATACCACACATCTACAGCCATCTGATCTTTGACAAACCTGAGAAAAACAAGAAATGAGGAAAGGATTCCCTATTTAATAAATGGTTCTGGGAAAATTGGCTAGCCATAAGTAGAAAGCTGAAACTGGATCCTTTCCTTACTGCTTATATGAAAATTAATTCAATATGGATTACAGACTTAAAAGTTAGACCTAATACCATAAAAATCCTAGAAGAAAACCTAGGTAATACCATTCAGGACATAGGCATGTGCAAGGATTTCATGTCTAAAACAACAAAAGCAAAGGCAACAAAAGCCAAAATTGACAAATGGGATCTCATTAAACTAAAGAGCTTCTGCACAGCAAAAGAAACTACCATCAGAGTGAACAGGCAACCTACAGAATGGGAGAAAATTTTTGCAATCTACTCATCTGACAAAGGGCTAATATCCAGAACCTACAAAGAACTCAAACAAATTTACAAGAAAGAAACAAACAACCCCATCAAAAAGTGGGCAAAGGATATGAACAGACATTTCTCAAAAGAAGACATTCATACAGCCAACAGACACATGAAAAAATGCTCATCATCACTGGCCATCAGAGAAATGCAAATCGAAACCACAATGAGATACCATCTCACACCAGTTAGAATGGCAATCATTAAAAAGTCAGGAAACAACAGGTGCTAGAGAGGATGTGGAGAAATAGGAACACTTTTACACTGTTGGTGGGATTGTAAACTAGTTCAACCATTATGGAAAAGAGTATGGTGATTCCTCAAGGATCTAAAACCAGAAGTACCATATGACCCAGCCATCCCATTACTGGGTATATACCCAAAGGATTATAAATCATGCTGCTATAAAGACACATGCACACGTATGTTTATTGTGGCACTATTCACAATAGCAAAGACTTGGAATCAACCCAAATGTCCATCAGTGACAGACTGCATTAAGAAAATGTGGCACATATACACCATGGAATACTATGCAGCCATAAAAAAGGATGAGTTTGTGTCCTTTGTAGGGACATGGATGCAGCTGGAAACCATCATTCTCAGCAAACTATGGCAAGAACAGAAAACGAAACACTGCATGTTCTCACTCATAGGTGGGAACCGAACAATGAGATCACTTGGACTCGGGAAGGGGAACATCACACACTGGGGCCTATCATGGGGAGGGGGAGGAGGCAGGGATTGCACTGGGAGTTATACCTGATGTAAATGACGAGTTGATGGGTGCTGACGAGTTGATGGGTACAGCACACCAACATGGCACAAGTATACGTATGTAACAAAACTGCATATTATGCACATGTATCCTAGAACTTAAAGTATAGTAATAATAAATAAATAAAAAACAAGAAAAAAAACAGCAAAGATGTGGAGGAACTAGAACTCACACACTACTGGTGAGAATGTAAAAAGTTAAAGTATAACTTCTATGTGATCCACTCATTCCACTCGTAGGTATTTACACAAGAAAAATAAAATGGCATGTCCATAAAACAAACAACAAAAAAAAGTAGAATCATTAGAAGGAAGGAAATCATTTTTAATAAAATGCCTTATCTACCTCTATATCCCACAAGAACTGACATTATAATCATCAAGGACTACCTTTTCTTTCTTCTGTAATTCTGATTAATCTTTCAAGAGTTAGCCCAAAAGCTACTATCTGGGGGAATCTCATTTTCCGCTCTCTGAATACACCATGTCCATTTTCAAAGTCCTGCATTATGACACTTACATAAACAATTACAGAATAATATACCTGTTTGTTTCCCCTATCAAAGATATATATTTATTAATCATATATTTATTAAGAATTTCCATGGTTCCATATGCCAGACAAAGAGCTAACAAAAGCAGAAACCACAGGTATGCACCTTCTCTCTTTCCCACTCCCTATCTAGTATAAATCCTAGTCCGTAATATGCCATTCATTAATATCTGGTTGAATAAATAAGGTATAATATGAGAGTATTCACAAATTGTGATTTAAAATTCTTTGGATCTCAAAATGTGCTGAAAGATGACATCATTACATATTAACGTATGTTAAATTAAATTGAATTTGCCATATGCAGCAAAGGATAACCTAACTTATATGAACAAACCACAACTGAACTTTAAAGTATATTATTGTAACAAGTAACCAAGTCTCAGTCAATCCCAGCAGCCGAGCTTTCAGCCAATCACAGGCTGTTGACAGCTCAGATATGTCCATATAAGGCAAATATCAAGCTGTAACCAACCAGGTTGTATCTGTATGCTGTTTTCTTTTCCTGTCTATAAATACTGTTTTTCATGTTGCTGAGTGAACCTCTATGAAGCTTTACTGGTTTAGGGTGCTGCCTCGTTTATGATTCATTTATTTGCTCAAATAAACTCTGCTAAATCATTTTTTCTTAAGATTTTCTTTTAACACACGTATAGTATATATTTTTAAAAACAAGTTTGATAGTTATTTTTTTCTTTAGGTTACCACATTGGTGTGCAATTTTTATTAGTCTGATTTGGAAAGTAAATATCCACCTCCATAGTTATATGCCTTTTTTATTCCATGTATATTCTCACAAACCCCTTTGTTAAATTAATGGAGCTTCAAAATATTTCTGTATGCTAAAAATTATTCTCTTGATAATAATGTTCTTAAATTCATTGCATAGGCAAAGCTTGGCAGATACCTTTGGGTACTAAAAAGAAAATGCACAAGTTAAGAATGTAATTCCGTGACATTCCACTCTTCCTTGCACAAACAAAATGATGGAAAGAGGCTGATGTCTGCCAAGGGCAAAGCAGGGAAAAGGTGCCCATTAGAGCTCCACACTGTAAGAGCAGAGTGCTCATCAGGAAAGATCTCAAAGCAGAAGGGCACTTTCCCGTGTAGCATATGGAGAACATCACATAGCCAGCAGGACAAATTAATGGCCCCATAATAAAATACATTTTCACATACTATTAAAGCTGTTGTCACACTTCATTGCATAGATGACTGGAAGCTCGTAGTGATGGAAGGTGAGGTCAGCTTCCTAAACCATCCTGAGTTATGAGTGGGCAGTTCTTTCCCATAAAGTCTCCTGGAGGTTGGGGAGTGCTCTGTATTCAATTCGGTCACTTTCTTTAAAGAGAAATAAGTAATGGCCCTTCAACACAGAGACCTGGAAATAGAGGAGCAAAATGACCCTTCCAGGTAAGCACTACTAGCTTGGGCTTCATAGATGACAAAAACAGAAAGGTGTCTGGATTATGGAAGATGGCTTATAGTTTCTGTGATGGGGAGCGGATTGACATTTCTTGACACTAGTGACTTCAAACATGTTTATATTAGCATTATGAGCAAAAGTAATCTATAGAAATTTGCTGGTTGGACCTACGTTATGGACTACCAAAGCATTTCAGTAACAAGTACAACTTATTCCACTCAATGATCATTTAATGACATAGTTAGGTGTCAGAAAGCATGATTTTTTCACTACCTATCTATGTTTCATTGTTGAGGTTTCACGTTTTTGAAGAACCTAAATACTTAAAATAAGATGGTGCCTTATTCAGTTTTTACCACACAATATATGCTCAGTAATATTTGATATTTTAGTATACAGATGCCAGAAACAGCGTAAATGTGTGTGGTAGAAGTGACAGTATGTCAGGAATAAGAAATCTCTGTGCCAATATTGGATCCACATCTACCTTTCTGTGTCACCATGAACAAATCATCCCATCTTTCAGAATCATATTTATCCCATTGTAAAATAAGTATACTAGACAAGATAAGCTGTCAGATTCCTTCTTCCTCAAAACTTTCATGATTTTTCTATGGTATCAGCTAACAGCAACTTTTTCAGCACAGAAGCTTCAATATGCTAAAAGTGTTTTAAAATAATAAAATGGTAATGATAAATATCAAGCATCATTGCTTCATAATCTGCCCTTTATTTCAGGATTCTTCATGTGCACTCTTTGTATTAAAAACCACAGACCAGTTCATCACAAAACTATTCTGGTTAAAGAGACAAATGCTTGTTTTGTCTAGATGCGCCACAACCGCAACCACTGTAGTTGACCTGGCACATAATTTATTATTGCAAAAGGAGGTATCCAACTCACAGGAAAAGGAGGCAAGCCCCCTTTTTACATTCCAAGCATTAACAACTTTTGCTTTTTTCATCTCCTCTCAGACTTGGAGCTCTTTCTCTATTTTACTCATCTAAGTCTCTATTTCCTGAACCTAATCTTATAGATGTCTGCATTCAGCTGTGACAAGACTGTGTAAGGATTGCAAGGCCATGTTATCAGCGGTCAAAGTACAAGCTGACAGTTTGAAAAATCAGACAGTGGGTTCACAGACCAATGTGTAGTTAATTGCACCCTTACTGTGGATCTCACACAATCTTTCAACCCAAGGACACACTGAAGGAACAATGGAAAGAAGTGTTTTGATTTCATTATGTTGTCATAATGTTTTCTTAAACTTCAAATGGATTGCAATCTGTACTTCTACACATGCAAATATCATACATTTGGGGGCCCAAAAATCATGTTTCTCAGCCTAAGTTTTCATCAAATAAAATGAGAAAATCTAACTATTTTCCCTACTTTAAAAAATCGCAACAGTCATGACCATACAATATATATAGTAAAGAATACAGATGGCCAAAGAAATATTTAAAATTTACCTCAACAGTGCTTAAAAATCTGCAAATTAAAATAAAATACAATATCACTTTTTATTTTCTTAAAAAAAATAGGGCATTGAAATATGTGATGTGTAGGATTTAGCAAAATAAGCATATCGCTTTCTCTTTCCCTCACAGCATTATTCCACTAAAGAGTAATGGATTTGGATACATGTTGATTTCCTTAGATCTATAAAATCACAAACATATAAAATATAGAGACATTGTCCACAATAAAATACAACTATGCAAAAGATACATTGATGACTTCTGGAGAGATGTAGTTAATTAATTAAATACACATAACATAAAATAAAAGTTTTCTTGATATGTTCAGAAAAAGGGGAAATCAAATTATACATCTAAAAGAAGTCAAAAACACTCCAAGGTTAAAAATGATTTTCACAAATGAAATAATAATTTCCCCTATGTAAGTTCTGCCTTCTGTCCCCTCCCTTCTGATGAAATTGGCTAATACCTCCTTTGTTACTGTCTGTCCCTGAACTTCTATCCCAGCTTCAGAAATTATTTATTATACCTATATTTGCATATGTAGTTCTCTATATTTAGTGGGGTTTTCGAAGGATTGGATCAAATTTTATTTGCCTCTATTTTCCAATACCTAGCAGAACAGAAGCATATCCCAACTTGTCCGGTCAAGGGAATCATCCTCTGGAGTGCTTTTGGTGAATTACACGATATCCACCAGCCTTTGTGAGAAGTCATTTTGTTGGCAGATGACTGCTCTAACATCCTGTGCACCTAAGGTACTGTTCCATTTCCATTCTCTCAGGGTACAGGGTGATGCTCTGCTTGGAGAGCTCTTGGTGAGCATGCGTCTCTGGGTTATATTCCTTTTCTATTCACCAACTTTTGCCAAAGGAGTAAGCCCAAAAGCTGACACCATGTTATGTCTCTTAACATCTGAAGTAGCTTTTGAGATGGGGACAATGCTATACTCCTATGTAGTTTTGTGCCATTCAGCAACTGATAGTATAAGAGATATGTTTGAGGGGTGGTGAGTCTGCATCTGATTATTTAAGTGCCTTCAAAGAGTCAGCATTTTCCACCCTGCTCTTTGAAAGGATAAGTTCTAATCCTATTTCCTTTTTTCGTCAAATAACCAGATTTCCTTGACTTTGCACACCTTATTTTGGTGCCTTTCTTTAGTGAAGAAATTACATTGCAAAGAACTTTTTAGTTCACAAGTTCTTCTGTGCTTTATAACATTTCATCCTAAGACAATCCATTACCCCTTCTTTTTAAAACAGGTAATAAACATAGAGCATGAAAAAGCTAAATGTCTCCCAAGACCACATACTTCCGAAGAGTTGCTAGAAAGAAGGGTCAGCATTTATCCCTCTCCCCAAACAGTGTGTGGCCCTTTGCTGAAATGTTCTGGACAGTTGGATGGAGACCAGATTCCTTGCTTGGTGAATCATCCTGGCAGTCACTGCCCTGTATAATTTCCCATCTGTTAGTCTGTAGTGATACCCTAGCAAATGAAAACTTGTAGATTTTTAAGCATTAGTTGGGTTAATTTCTCAGTTGAGGGTTTGGAAAATAGAGCTCTAGGTTAAGTATGAGGCTATGGAGAGAAAAGAAAACTAATTTGATTAAAGGCCAAGAAAGATATTTAACTAAAGAATAAATTTTTAACTCATAACTTTTAATAACCAGTCCCATATTTTGTGTTGTTTTTCCTATTACATCTGGGGGATTTTATATTTCCTATGAATCATGTAAATAGATGTTTCATATAAAGTCCCTTTTCCTGTTAAACCTTACAGAAGTAAAACCTAATTTCTTCAGAAAACATCTTTTCATCATCTTTATTATTCAACATTTCAATTATATTCGGTTATTATTTTACTCGGATGATTAACAATTACGTATCTGAGCTCACTATGAAATTATATGTTTCCATTGCTCTTTTTACTAATGCAATACTAGGTTAGTGCTTATGTAAATATATTTTAATTTTCCAATTTGTTAATTCATTATCTCTAGCATTTAAGATCAAAAATTTCAAGGTACATTCTTCACAGTAGAATTCTGTTATGTTTTAACCAAGATTACCATAAGTGCATTAGAAAAGGAATGTCTTCTCCACGAACATATTCCTGTAATTGCTGTCACTTCCACCACTCCATGCCCATCTCATCATTAAATCAAGTTTAGATTGTGCTTCTCGGCCATCTCTGATACCATGCATCATTCTGTAGAAAAAATACTTATAAACGAAATTAAATCAAATATTTGCACACACCCCAATCATTATGAGTGATGAATTTTCTTTTCTAGACTGCACTTAGTTCCTTCGCTGATATTCTTAGCAGAGACTGAGGCCTCTAATTCATTGCTCGCCCCTTTCTCCCTGCAATACCCCTTTTTAATGGGCCAGGGTCATGCTGGGATACTCATTAGTTTCCTGCTAGCTGTTCTGCCAAGCAGCTTCTGAGGCCTCAGCGTCACCTCAGAAATCATTAACGGAACTGGCGCTGCAATCTCCACCTGCCAGGCATAGAGTAATCATTTCGAGACTGAAACCTGTTTCTCCATAAATGAGCATTTGGGAAGGGAAAGCTCATGTGTTACATTCATTTTCTCCAAACAAACGAGATTTTGGTACCTGAGGTGTGAAGGCAGATGTTTGCACGTATCCTGGTCATGCTTGGGGAACAGAAATGATTTGGTGTGGAGGCCGCTGTGATTTACTTTTGGCTAAAAAAGTAGAGACAAGGATATATGGAGAACCAAAAAAAAAAATGTCTAATCACAGATGTGATTTTCCAGAGCTGCATTTACCTTCCACTGTGTTGACACATGGTGGTAGAATCTATTAGCAGATGTGTCCCGTCCTGAGGATGTGATCATCCTACTCTTAACAAAGATATGGAAAACCCATTTGACCTTCAATCAAAGAAGAATGCTGTTCCCTTTTTTATCTGTGGGCTTACAGGTTTTATGGTTAAAGACATAACTACTGGCATTGTTTCTTATGGCATCATTCAAAATTATGTCTCAGGCACCCAGGAGTTCAGGCTTCATGTAGACTTACTGACCCCCGTGTAGTTCTAAGAGAAACAAAACAAGGCTCAGCCCACACAGGGTTTTCACCTTACTGAGTGCATAGACAATATAAATTTTACATGGGAAAAAATGCAGAGTCTCTACTTTAAGAGGTTGCTGTGGACAAGAGCCCTGCCTTTTGTTTTCCTGTAAACATCAGGACCATTCTATCTGCCTAGTGTCTTTGGCCACTCTAGAGTCTGGATTAGTTCTGTAGCCCATGACAGCAGGAAGGAGACCGATATGGTGGAGCAAGAGGGCTCTGTGTACCAAAGGCCAGACAGAATGGAAGCAGTGAAGAACAGCTTTTAAAAATACGATCTGGGCGTGGTATCTCATGCCTGTAATCCAAGCACTTTGGGAGGCCAAGATGGGTGGATCACTTGAGGTCAGGAGTTCAAGACCATCCTGGTCAACATGGTGAAATGCCCTCTCTACTAAAAATACAAAAATTAGCTGGGTGTGGTGGCTGGCACCTGTAATCCCAGCTACTCGGGAGGCTGTGGCACAGGAATTGCTTGAACCAGCGAGGCAAAGGTTGCAGTGAGCTGAGATTGCACCATTGCACTCCAGCCTGGGTGACAAGAGCAAGACTCCAACTCAAAATAAATAAAAGAATAAAATAAAATAAAAATATGGACTATAAGAAGCCATAGATCAAAGCTTGAGGCTTGTTCACTAGCTGTGTGATCTTAGGCACATTTCCTTGATTCTTTTAAGTGTTGCTTTCCTTATTCATAAACTCAGATTAACAGCAGTGTCTCAGTCATACAGAGATTTTATAATAGCTAAATGCTGGAGTTCATGTACTTAGCACATCCTCAGCACCCAATGAATAGTAACCAAAGCCAGCTACATAATTGCTAGGTCGAGTGCAAAATGAAAATATGGAGCTGTGATGTTCAAAAACAGAGAAAAATGGGGCTTAAAGTACTGAAATACAAACTTTTGTTTTATCTTGCTTTTAAAATTCTGGGGTCTCTGACATTATGCTATGTCATTTGTTATTTGCTTGTTTAGTGTCACGAGATTTTAGGCATGGGAAGAATCACCTGGAAAGTATAAAACTTCACAGGTGCCTTAGGGTCCTGCTTGATGCCTCAGTAGAAGGTTATCCCTCCTGCCACTAACATTCTGACCTGGAGCGAGAAACTCAAATCTCCTCTTACAAAACCTTTGTTCTAATCTAGGACTGGTCTGTGAATCTTAAGAGATTGCAATTTCTGACTTGGGAAGTGGAGGATGGGCAAGAAGCTTGTCCCTGCTGAGTCACCCATCAAATATAATGTGCCTCTGCCAGCCTAGGGCAGATACGACAGCTCCCTAACCCTGGTGAAAAACACTGCATGGGGTGTGAACCATTCCCTGAACCTTCTTTTTGTCCCCACCCAGCTCCTTGCCAAAGATAAAGGGCAGGCATTGCAGCTAAGCAGGAGAAGGGAAAGTATGGCTGGATGGTTCCCAGGGTCCCATGAGGTGGGTAGCTGACAGCCCAGAGCACGTACCGGGGAGGCAGAGCCAGGAGTACAAAGAATCACACTTGACCAGAAACTTCATATCTCCAGTATATACCCTGTTGTCCCCGAGGACTTCACTTAAAAGCACTGACTCAAAGATGAAATTGTTAAGTATTGCAAGACACCAGCTGCAGAACACCAAACCCCAATGTGGAATCCCTCTGAGAGCAGGCAGGACCTCGTGCCCTGGCTGTTCATCCATGATGCTGAATGCAATCGCTACTACCGCTACCTCTATTATGGGCTTCTGATGTGGGCTTGGCCATAAGAAGCCAATGATTTTGGGTAAAGCACTTCTTTATTCAGAATACTAGAGCTCCATCAATGAAATGAAGGTTTTTTCATGGTGTTTAAGACCTCATTATTTCTAAGAAGCTTTTCTTAAGGGCAGGGACTGTTCCATAATCATTTTTTAAAACCTCATAGTATCTTGTCCACAGAAGTATTCAGTAAATACATGCTGATTTACATTCAATTAAGAGTCCTACGCCTGTAACAAGATTATAATTTCCTTGATGGAAAATCCATGTCTTAAGTCTCTTCAGGAAGGCAGTTTGTATAGTAATAAGAAATCAGAGCCTGGAATCCACCAAAATGAATTTGTATCCTGTGACTATCACCTGCGGGCTGTGTTATTTGGGGACACAACTCTCTGAGCTTCTTGGCTCCATATCTGTATAAAATAAAATACTTATTGTACAGCAACGTTCAAGGATTTTTATAAGATAACCCATATTAGACACCAAGCATGTCATTAGGTGAATGATTTATAACTGGGGGTTATCCTGTTCAAACGTAGCTACAACATGGAAATTGACTTCATCTGAATTAGCCAACCACAGAAACCTTAGCATTTTTGTCTCAGCTATTTTATTTGTATATCTGATTAGACACTGTGTTCCCAAGCAGATGTCTTGGATATAGCCTGATTAAAGAGACTTTATTACTAATTTCCCTAAGAAATCCTTGGAAACCACTTAAGGTTAGTTCCGTGTCAAGTTCTAAAGCTGTTGTACATACTGTTTCTGTCAAATGGCGGGTAGGACAGAAACTTCACATGCAGATAGCATTAAAGCCAGCATAACAAATGATCAGCCGGCCGTGTTGTACGATCGTTCATCTGGCCCCTTACTTTCTTCTCATACTCCTTTACCAGAGATTCTTTAAGAAATTCTTTCACTTGCAGGTCCCAGAGAGTCACTATCCTAGAACTGCCTGGAATTCTGTAGGCCTAAGTGATAAAACCACACTCTCCAACTTCCGTAGCCTTCTTCTTACTCCTGATCAGATGCTGACTTCTTAGTAAAACAGTTATCTCCATTGTGACAAGTATGACAGCTGCAAATGAACTTGGCCCTTGTTAATGGATGAGGAAGCTCGATTCTGATTCCCAGCTCTGCAGTCAACGATATCTGTGAAGTGATTTTTGAACTGTTGAAGTGCTAAGGTGTTTATGCCATCACAAAAATGTAAAGAATGTCAGAAGAACTCCCCTCAGCCTTATCGTACCTGCTCTTTATTGTCTGGCTTTGCACACAGGATAATGAGTTTGATAGCACAATTATATATTTACTTCTTAGGAAATCAGTCCTATAAGACAGTAAGTCACATGGAGGCCAAACCCTACCTATTTAGCTCATCACTATATTCTCATTTGTTCATTCTGTCCCTGGCACAACACACCTAGAAAGGAATAGATGGAAGGAGGGAGGAAGGAATGGGGGAGAGTTTTGTGAAGTTTTTTATTAGTCTTTAAGGGGACACAATTCTCATTGGTATGAAACAGTTGGACTTAGTTTAAACTTTGGGATTGTTTTGAACACTTTCTCTTTTTGGTATACTATATGTGCTTTGATGCATATGAAAATGTATTGTACAAAATTAACAATATTATGGTTTCAGATACCCTTTATAGACTAATTATAACACAGCAATATGCATCTATAAGCTTCATCATCTGTACATAATTTAGGTGTCTGATATATAACACGGAGTTGAAGACCACAAAGGACTTTCAGTTTACTGCAGAATACCTAGTTGTGGATTTTCAACTTTATAATATTATAGCTCTCTTTTCTTTTCTTCTTCTCCAAATAAGTTGTTAGTTAGCAAGCAAGTACTGAACTGAAAGGGGTGCAGGGAACTGGACTGAGCACTACGAGAAGATATAAACTAATAAAAAGAAAGAATCTGATTGCAAGCAGCTTCACAGACTATCATTAAATAATGTTGAATGAAATGATAAGCATCTTTTTACTAGAAAATGAGAAATTCCAGCCTGCATTCTTATCTCTCAGTTATCAGTATGTTCCTCTCAGCCATCTATACATGATGGTGTGACATGAATGTGTGACGTATGTGTGTATGTGCGTGTGCACGTGTCATATAAACTAAACCACTAAACTATGGGCTTTGTAATTACTGCGTTTGGGTATGGGGAAGTCACAAATGACAGAATAAAAACAGTGAGAAAAATGATGCATTGAATGCTGGAATAATTATTTTCTTAAGAGAATTACATATGCCGCCAGCCTCTGCGGCAGAAGTCATTGGTTGGCTTTTGCATTTAGCTGAGTCTGCAGCAGGCAGCCTGTGGCAGTGTGGTTATGCTGAGGTTATTCAGTGGACAATGGTATCTGGGTTGCCAGAAATACAAATACAGGAAATTAGATCAAAACACTGAGACCACAGATTAAGTGCCTTATCTACACATTTGTGAAGGCTATGAAAAGCCTTACCTGCTTGTTGTTTTTCTGAAGGTGAATTTCCTGTTTTACCTTTTTCTTTTTTTTCTAGGAAAGAAAGCAATAGAACTCCATGAATTTACCTGTCTCTTCTCCCTCAAGTAAAACGGTGGGGGGCAGAGAGGGGGTTGGGAGGTGTAGCTGGTATTCCGTTACTGTTAAACAATTTGCACCACGGCTAGTAGAAAGATGTTCCAATTTCATAAGCATTAAAACAGGAAATTCTATGCAACTAAAATGCATAAAGTGGAGTTGAAATGCTTTTGGCAGTACTGAATCTAGACAAGAATATGAGACTTAAAAATAAGAGAATGTTAATATCTATATGGTAAGTTGTGTATTTGAAAATTTAAAACTATAAAAGGGAATTCCTATAAATTCTAGAAAATGGAAAAGTAACTGCTGTCTTCAATTTGGGATTTAAGAGGAAACATAGCATTTACCACAGGCACTATTATCTCCTTTCCTTTCTCCCTTCCTCTCTGCCATCTTCACTGCCTCTCCTTTCCTCTCTATCTGCCTTCCTTCCTTCCTTCCTTCCTTCCTTCCTTCCTTGTATCCCTCCCTCTCTCCCCTCCTCCCTCCCTCCCTCCCTTCCTCCCTTGCCTGTCACCCTCCTTCTCTCCCCTCCTCCCTCCTTCCCTCCCTCCCTCTCTTCCTCCCTTCCTCCTTTCCTTCCTTCACTCCCTCCCTCCCTCCCTTCCTTCCTTCCTTCCCTCCTCCCTTGCTCACTTTTTCCCTTCCTTCCACCAGGAAATCCATCATCAAACTTTGATTTAATATCTACTGTACATCAGTCACTTTGTTATATCTTTAGGACACAAATATTAATAAATCGGTAATCCTAATTTATTTATTGGAGCCTAAAAGCAGCCTTTTAAAAGCAGCCTTTTTCAAATGTAAATGCATATCTCACATAAGTGAGTTATGAGCTAATTAAATAATGTGTTAGATCACTGGTTGTTTTTTGTTTATTCTCCAGCATTCTTGGGCTTATGACTGAATTGTTCAAAAGTCCTTCATAGCATTTTGCCACTTGTTAATATAATCACGAATGAGTTTGGGGAAAGGGCTGAAAAAGTCCAATTTAATTAGTTTGAGCTGGAGATCAAGATATGCCTTAAACCTTCTGCTAGAAGATGTGTTTATGCCTAGTATAGAGACATGAGGTGATGTCCTCAGTCTTTGCTCCTCTCCTCTGGTCAAGACTTCATTTCTAAGATAGCACAGTGTATCACCAGAAAGCCCTACTAGAGAGACAACTCCAGTATCCACCAGCAGAGGCACCTGGATAGGTATCTAGAGGTGTTGTATCATCACAGATCTGCTACTTACTAGCTGTTTGTCTCCTATGGGCTTCAAGTTCCTCATGTGCAAAATTTTTACAGTGATCCTAATATGTATTTTGCAAACGTATTTTGAGGATTATGTGGATAAAGATTTGTAAAGCATTAGAACAGTGCCTAGCACATGACAAGCACTATATAAGTGATTGTGTTAAATAGTGTCCACCAGGTAAGATAATATTCTCCTGAGTATATGTCAAGAACATTTTATTCTTCTTGGTTGGACTACTTTTTTCATTAATGGTGGAATAAGTTACTGGATTCAAAGAGTAAATACTAACTGAATTGCCTTAGAAAAAAACTTCTCTAATGAATCTAATGGTGTTTTATTTGGGGATGTACTCCACAGGGGTGTAACATACTATCAATTAAAACTCACAACAGTATCAGTATCCTAGCGGGACTGACTGTGTTTCATGACAGGCATCCCAGTGTATCTCTTACAGGGAATTGAGATGCATAAATTAAGAGCATAAAATAGTTACATAAAAGAATGTTTAGGAGTGATTTCATACACTCACTCTGGCCAGGTTTATCTGGTTTAAATATACCTTAAAGTCAGACAACAGGGAGGAGGAGAAGGAGGAGGAGAGCCACATAAGTAATATTAACATTATTTTATTTAAAACTATATTTTACCTCATTTATCTGGCTAGTTACCTGAAATCTTTACTTTCTTGGATTAGTCTTTTACATCTAAAGGAGAAATATTTAAACAGCTAGACTTACAAATAGCAAATAAGCATTAGTGAGTTTTTAAAATCTGAAGGTAATAAATAACAGATATACAGATATTGGAGGCATCATTTGACCTTTTATGAAATATTAGTTTATGTAGGAAGAAAGTAGGTTAATATTATATTTTTAGGATAGTTAATCTATAAATAATTCTTCAAAGAATTCACTTGGAATGAATGAGCCTGTAGACTTGCAGGGAAGTAAATCTAATTACTTAATGAAATGACAGAAAAATAACGAATAAAGTCATAATTAAGAGCAAAGATAATGGAATCATAGAAAATAAGCAGCATGAGACTATAACTAATAAATCACGTTATACTAACTTCCATCATATTATAAAATTAATAAGACAACAAATACAAAAAGAATGGCGTTAATATTCCATATGATTTCGACATTTTAGGAAGAGATTTGAGGTTAAGTGTATTTTAATTTTGACATATTTATCAGAGCAAGTGATTAGTTTCTATTTTATTGCTGACAAATTTGTGTGACATGTACAGAAATGGAATGAAAGAACAAATATAGTATGTTGATGAAAATAGTTGCATTTCAAACCAATCACATTTGAGCATGGAACCAGAACATAAATCATTTTCCTTCCTTCTTGGCTGTACCACTCACAAGACATGCAAATATGATTATATCTAAGAGCTTTTTACATTTTATTGGAATGTATTGTCTATAAAGCTTCACCCACTCCTTATCCTCTATATGTACTCTTCCATCATCAATCTCATTTCATATCCACAGTGAATGCATGTCAGTTAACTGACCCTATGTGATATGAGGTTCAAATCCACTAAGAACATTGACTTTTTCTTTTTATCTTTCTCTTTCTTTTCTTTCTTTTTCTCTCTTTCTTTTTCTTTCTTCTTTCTTTCTTTCTTTCTTTTTCTTTCTTTCTTTCTTTCCTTTCTTCTTCCTTTTTCTCTCTTTCATTATCCTTTTTTCCTTCCTTCCTTCCTTCCTCCCTCCCTTCCTCTCTCCCTCCCTCCCTCCAGTCCCTCTCTCCCTCCCTTTCTTCCTTTTTCTTTATTTTTGGTGGGGGACAGTCTTGCTCTATCAACCAGGCAGGAGTGCAGTGGTGTGATATGTGATCTCTGCTCACTGCAACCTCACTACACCTTCCAGGTTCAAGCAATTCTCATGCCTCAGCCATTCAACTTGCTGAGATTACAGACATAAGCCTCCATACCCAGCTAATTTTTGTATTTTTAGTAGAGATGGGGTTTTGCCGTATTAGCCAGGCTGGTCTTGAGCTCCTGGCCTCAAGTGATCCACCTGCCTCAGCTCCCAAAGTGCTGGGGTTACAGGCCTGAGCCACCACACCTGACTCCATTAACATATTTTCAATTCAATTCACCAATCACCTACAACCCCATGTCTTCTTGATTCTTTCTTCTCAAAATATATTTATTTCTGTTTCAAAATAAGCTATGGTATCACTATTATTTGTTCTAATAGGACTAATTTTTAAATCTATTTTATAACAGCTTTATTATGATATATGTCACATACCATACAATTCATCCTTTAACAGGTATATGTCAGTGCTTTTTTATACTCAGAGATTTGTGCAACCATCACCACTATCTAATTTTAAATTATTTCTATTACCTCCAATTTTATTTGTTTTTAATTATTTTTAAATCTTTTACTCATTAGCAGTCATTTCCCATTACCCTCTACCATTAGTCCCTGGCAAGCATTATTCTATTTTATTTCTCTATGCATTTGCCTATTACAGATATTTTAGATGAATGAAACCATACAGTTGTGGCCCTTTCTGAATAGCACCTTTCACTTAGCGTAATGTTTTGAAGGTTCATTTATATAGTAGCATGCTTTCTCCATTTCTTCTTTTTGCTGAATAATATTCCATTATTTTTTATTAACAATAATGCTGCCATGAACAGTTATATATATATATACACTTGCTAGACATCTGTTTTCATCTTCTTGGGTATATGCCTAGAAATATGATATTTGGTCATGTCAGGTCATATTGTAAAACTGTTTAATAGTTTGAGGAACCATAAAACTCTTTTCCGTAAAGCCTATGACATCTTACAATCTTACCAATAGCAATATATGAGTGTGCCAAGGACTTTCTACATCCTTGGTACCACTCATTATCTAGCCATACTAGTGGGTGTGATGTGACATCTCGTTATGGTGTTAATTTGCATTTCTCTAATGAGAAATGTAATTGTGTATCTTCTCATATGCTTATGGACCATTTGAATATCTTCCTTGGGGAAATATCTACTTATTTGTCTACTTTTAAATCTAGCTGTCTTCTTCTTATTGAGTCACAAGTGTTATTTATGTCAGCTATCCCCAATCTTTTCAGCACCAGGAACTGG